GTACTGTTGTTGTATTTCAGACTGCTGTTGCTCTCAGGCATTGAAGAGCTCTTTAAAAATTGTAAAATGAATCAAAGAGCTTGGGTTATTGAACAGAAACGACAAACAAAACAATTTGCTTCTTTTAAAGAGAGAACTTTATTTGAAAGTGGTAGATAAAGCAGGTTCGGGGCCCACGTGAAATGAAAACGAGAGTAGTCTATTGCAACACTCTGCTATCATTGACTTCGCGCATGATTAATACTCTTCAATTGGCCTAACATGACATATTTCAGAGTTCCTGCTCAATTCGACTTCATAAAAGTTATTTTTGAAGAGCATTATTACGAATCTATAAAGTTGAGTAAATATACCCAGTACATCATACATGATTTTTTCGTCCAAGCAATACTTGGATTTGTCAAATATCATAATGATAAATAATTCTTTTTCCAGCGTTCCAGTTTGTAACAGGTCCAAAGTGATGTTCCTAAAGACACGTTAAAGGCTAATGAAGCCTACATTATCCTTAAAAGATCTAATGCAGTGTTAGCTTTCTGATATAAATACTAAACTTATCTCAGCTACTTTCTCCGCCAAACATGTAATGATATAAATCAAGTATAGCGCAGGCCATTTCTGACAACTTTTTGAACACTTTTAATCTACAATTTTCCTATCAGGAGGAATGAGTGGTGTTGTTAGAGAAACAGTCTCGAACGAAAACTTCTACAAACTCACTCTTGCAACATTCGAAGCAAGAACAAACATAATCATATGTGTTCTAGGTCGTTTCGCGTCGTTTTATCGAATAATAAGCCAAGCTGAGTTACTTCTATAAATCTTTTCATGGTCAGCCGTGGCAAATTAAGTTGATCACTTTTTTGAGCTCGTTGCTAACGCCGCTGCTGCAGCCGCCATCATCATCATCATCATCATCATCATCATCACGGCGACGTCGACGCCGACGGCGGTCATCACACTCGTCCTCATCATCATCACGACGACGACGTTTGCGGTCATCTCCGTCATCATCATCATCGTCCTCACAGCACTTGCCTCCTGAACTGGTCTCGAACGTCAGAATAAGATCGCGATCATTTCGCCCGGTAAGTACTCGAAGCCCAAGAACGTTAACGGAGCCAGCTTCACCTATACCTAAGCCGATAACTCTGGCATTGAATGTCTGGGAGAAATTAAAAAGAAATAATTTTAAACCTTAAGAACTTAGAACAAGTTTTTGTTGATCAAAAACAGAAATCTCACCCTGACTAACAATAACTCAGAATGTAAATTTCCTGAAGCACTGGAAGGCGCGTTTGATCAATTTTCTCATTGTTTTGATTGCGCATTTGATAGGAGGTGATGCGAGTTTTTACATTAATGTAGTCCCGCATTATTCTTGACAGTCGGTTGAAAATTGCTTCCTACAATTAAGGGCAAATCGACATGCTATAGACAGTGACTGAACTTGTGATCATTACACTTTATCGTCCTACAGTGTTGAACGGTAGTGTAACGTGTAACAGTTGAAGTTCTGCGATCAACAATTAACAGCCATGATCACGCCATGAAAGGCAATCAGGAGTCTGAGTCCCACATATTCTTCGGGCTTGGAGTTCAAAGTCGAGAGCTCTGATCCTTTTTTAGAGTCATCCTTGTTCTTAGTCTCTCTCCCGATTCCCTCTCTTGGGAACGAGGTTGCATCAAATAAAATTTGAAATTTATAGTTTGAAATAAACTTAAATTTGAAATTAAATTGAATTTTAAAATATGAAGCGATAATGAAGTCCGGAATCTGAACGGGTGCACTAAGGAATTACCTAATATACGATTTGTAGTGTTACGACAGAGAAAGTAAACACTACAGTCATGATATTACTAATCATTTCCTCCAATATACTCACCGAGACATTTCTCAATTCCTGTGCTGGCAGAACAAGTGAATCAGTTCCACCAAAATTCACACCATCAGTTACAAACACGACTACTTTTTGTGCGTTATCGCGGTTTGCGGAGCTAAGTAAATTCTTGGCTTCTTCTATTGCCGTATTTATCACTGTAGCTCCGGCAGTAAATTGTAAGCTGTTTATCTGTCTCTTAATCTCAGATCGAACTCTTGTTACTCTATCACTGAAGCTTGATGTTAGACTATTTATCTGGTCATCAAAGGCAAAGACGATGACCCGTGCGCCATTTGTTTTGGAGATTTTGATGTTATCCACTAACGTTGACAGAAATGTCTGTAGTTGTCTAAATTGGTTGTCGTTCATGCTGCCAGACACATCTGCTGCTATTACGATGTCTAACTTCTTACTGCATAAATATGCTGGGAAAGGAAAGAAAAGGAAAGGATAAATAAGTTATTTCAACTAGAAAAATTAATCACAATGGCAAATAGAGCTCAAAACATGAAGAAAGTGGGCCCGCTTCAAAACCATATCTTTCCACCTACTTGTAGATTTAAAAGAGCTTTATTTTCCTGTTGATAGATATTAATTTTCGCCAGTCTAAGAAGCACCAGAAGTCGCTACCTTAACGAGTTCATCACATATAAAGCAGTTTTCAAATGAGTTTCGAAAACCTAAACCAAAACAATCACAGCGGCCAATAACAAGAAAAGTTTACATTATCCTTAACAATTAGAACTCGAAGGAGAAAACCGGCAACCTGATTAATATTAGTCGTTTGAAACGAGCTTTATATCTGATTGGCTGAGAAGTAGGCGCGAGTTTTCTTGACCAATCACAGAGTGAAGTAAAGTAAAATAAAGTTTTCCAGAATAACTTTCGATACTCAACTGAAAACTTCTTTTTCTGTCTATTTAAATCAGTTTTCAGTACGTGGCCAGGGGAAAAATGTTTTTCTCCAGAGCTGAAATCGTAAACGGGTTTTGTCATAATTGAGGCAAGGCAAAGGAACTTGTGTTACGAAATGAGACATTTCAGCTTTCAAATTTGCTTTTTTTACTTCATAAAAAAGAAAGAAATTACGAAATTGAACAACAGACAGATCATCTTTTTACTGGCACCAAATCTTCGCTATCTCAGATTATAAAAACACCAGCGATGTCTGTTTTACTGATGTCATGGAAGAGAGGTTTGACCTTTTCGCTCATAAGTTATACTGCTTACTGTCTGCCATACAATTCTTATGATATTAGATTGGAGAATTTGGTATTGGATCATTACCAAGCTTATCTGCTTCACATTTTATTGAAGGAGAAAATCTGTCTCGGTTACTCATGGGAGTTAAAAGGTTTATAATAGTTCTGACGTAGAAGACTGCACAAAAATATGCGAGGCTCGAACAACTTGAACAATATAAGGCAATTCAAGCATCAAGGATAGCGAATAGTGAACTTTTTTTTCTTAAATCAACCCCTTTCAGATGACGATAGTTTTATATCGCGATAATTTTCTTGAAAATTTCGACTACCACTGACGCTGATTCAATTAATATTGCCAAGCGATCTTTCGAATTCGCTCACAGGAAGAAAATTTCAGAGCCAATAAATTTGCACGTGACCATGTTTTGTTCGCAATCAAATATTTTTAATTACAATAATATAAGACCTTTTTGAAAGAATAGCACGGCTCATCTGATGATTTCTCGATGCCTTTTAAAAATATTTTCTTTGGTGTAGAAAAAGATTATCAGGGAGAAAAATGTTGCCGATCAGTATAATAGCGTCCACAAATAAGTTGTTCTACTAGAATGTATCTAAGTCTTGTAATACTGAGGGCAAGCGTAATATCTGACTGCGTGCATTTTAACACTTATCACTACAGCTCCAACGAAATAGAGCGTGCAGTACTTTTCACGACCGACTTATTTCATATTCATACACTGAAAATGTACTTATTTCAATTGAAACATGAATTTATCGAACATATAGCGAGTATATATGTTATACTGTCATTCGGCTGATGATGAAAAAAAAACTGTTTGAAATCAATTTTAAAATTAACTGCTAGTAACTTGATTGGTAATAGGACAGAAATTATCTGACAGAGAAAAAAACTACCTGATGAAAAATGGGAATTATTTTGATCACAGAATAACTTTTTTAAGGCTTCCAAGTTTTTGTTTGTTATCATATTGTTTAGGGTTTGGGTAAGCTACATCATTTTAGTTTCCACTTATAAAAAATCAGCTTGTGTTCGCGCATCCTTCTACTGATGAATAGCAACTTCCTTTATCAACGATTGATTACACGACATTCCATGCACTAAATGACCTTCCAATACATCTTTAAGCTTTCTAGTTTCCAGCTGCATACCAAAATGTGTATCATCATTTGTTTTTTTCCTTGTCACGTGAAGCTTTGACCGGGCTTCGGGATTGCATTTCTGACAAGTGAATGAGTCATGACTGTGGTTTACCGCGGTACTTCTGTTGAAAATAAGCTCAGCTTTTTCGTTCCTGCGGTGGTTCTAAATCGAGCTACAACAATTGAAGGAATTTTTCACCCCTAAATATTGACAGGAAACACTCGTCTATTTTTTATAGCAATCAGACAAAACTATATGGGTTTAATCACTGAAGCGACATCCCAGAAGTTTCCAAAACCACCAACGAAAGAAAAGTTAATCTGACCACTCAATGACTTTATAATTGAATGCTCTTTCAACTTGTCGAACGTTTTAACCTGATTGAAGTAATGCTGCAAAAAAATCGTTTCAACTAAATATCACTAATTGATGTTAAGACTCCAAAAATGCACCAAAACGCACAGGCATTTGTTGTTTTTAAGAAAAATCTTCTTTGGGGGATATTTTTGTTGGAAAGACATTTGATATTAGCGCCCTTCATGGCTGAGCAATACAGCTTTTAGAAGTCTGTTTATTTCGTTGTTATTTTTAGGTTTATCATATCTTCCGAGGAAGGATAAAGAAGGTTGCCAAGCTTTTGTGGTATTCTCTAGAGAGAGGGGCATCAATTTGTTGCGAGATTCAGTTTCCGAAATTTGGCCGCGAAAGTCCATGAAGGTCAATTAGATTGAAAAGACGATATCAAGACAACTTTCGTGAGTTGATTAATGAAAGACTGATTTCATTCTGGAATAAAATATTTGCCTCATTGCAGGAACTGAACCAATCACCCAATAGTTCTAATTTTTATCAAAAACCTCAATACTAAGAAAGAAACCGACACCTGAAGATAGTTTATGGCACTAAGAGAAAAGTTTTCACACAATTTGAGACCGAACGAAATCTCCAACACGAGTGCAGTGATCATCTCTCATCCTGAATTTATTGTAGACGTTTTCAATTTGCGCCTTTACAAAAACACTTGAAGCTAAAAAAGGCTTTGCACTGATTATAATTCTCTTATCTAAGCGATCAATGATAAATTTAATTTGTTATTTCAGTTGCCCCGCCGACGCTAAAACAGTTACTTTAGAAACTCAAATTCTCACCGCATATTTAGTTTGTTCTTATGGTGGTAATATCCTTGAATAAATACGACTTTGAAATTTAACTTTAACACCAATCCAGTTTCCATTAACTGGCAAAGACAGCTTGATAGAAAGCCAAAAAACTTACGAGTAAAAGAACCGACTAAAAGAACCCAGAAATAGGATAAAAATACGAAAACTATAACTTTTATCAAAGCACGTACTCACCCTCTGCTTCTCCACTAACACACAAAACCACAAGAACAAGAGCAGCGCCTACAACTTGAGGGTTAAGAAAACAGAAAGGCGTTAAAATCATTTACGAAAAACATGCTTTTTACGCCCTGTATATACAGCTTGTTTATAAATCCTGGCGAGTTCTCCTGCGATACATAAAAAACATCTTACTTTTCCTCGCCATGCTGAATTTCTGCCGAGATGGCAACCTTCATCTAATATCTGCAAGCTCAACTGAAGTCATAAATGGTTCACATTTTATTCTAGTCTACATTATATTGAACCGACCCGCAAACACTCAAAATCTGTCATTCATCCTCTCTGTCCAATAGCTGGCCAGTATTGTTGCACTCGTCATTTCATCTTCCTTACCGAGAACGTGTTAATAATAGATATCTGGGGATATTTCATGGGAATATCAATTTTTTTGAAGACAGTGTTAATTGTCACGTTGCATAACTGATTTAGTTTCCTTATTTGAATGATTTTTTTCGTTCTTTTCTTCTTTTTTTTTTAAGGAAACTTTATGAAATGATTCAATATTGGCTAAATATTTGCAACTTAAGGGAAGCGTCATCACTTTTCAAAATATGGGCTCTTACAAACAACTTTGAAGAGGACAACGTGGTGTTCTTTTTTTTGTCGTGGGAAAAAATGTTTAACAATGATCCATTTCTCTGGTAGTAAATAACATTAAAATATTTCTACAGGGTAAATTATAAGTAATTTTTTGTTCTGTGCCATAATGCTGTTCTACCTCAGTTACAACAAAAGAAGTTTTTTTTTTAAAACATTGGGTACAGAAGTACAGTCATGTCCAACTGTACTAAGCGCACGAGAGCAGAGCTCTTGGCCACTGACTCACGTTTTGTCGGTTTAACAGCTGTGTAACCCACGCGAGATGTTGTTACATGAAATAAAATGTTTGTATAGAACGCGAGCCGAAAGGCGAGTAGTCTTTGCGTTCAAAAATTCGCCCAACCAGTCCAGGAGAGTTTTCATGCTGGTAAACCGATAGAAGGTGCATTTCGTTGCTTTTTTTAATTATAAAATGGTTCAGTTTTCTATCATTTTACCTCCTCAAAAACGAGATACATTTTGACCAGTAAGTGTATGTAGTTGCTCAATTATTTCTTGATTTAAGATTTTACGAACATTCGGAGAGGTTGTCAGAATTCAATTACTGTTGCTCAAATGATAAATAATAACGATATAAATAATTACCTTTATTCTTTTCAAACCCTTACCAATTGTTTAAGCCAACGTAACAATCATCTTTCCTCATTCAATTTTCTCAGGTGAATTATGACAATTATCGGCTAACTGAGAAATATAAAAGGACCCCCCCTGGATAATTCGGTTCGTGTTGCTAACCAGAAAAATTTGATCACTCAGACCTTCATACTACGCTGTCATAGCTTGTACAATTGGAAAGCGATCTCTGATAGACACGACGGGGTACTTCACCGGACATATCTCACCGCTTGGATGGAACGCTTCACTCTTAAGAGAGGTTACACCTCGCACACTGATTGGCGTCAAGCAGTGATACTGTTCACATCATTGCATTTCTCTGGTCAAAAGCTGGTCGTTTTATACCTAACGGCATGCATGACTTTTAGCCGTTCATTTCGTCGAATAACTCAGTAGGCGTTTTAAGGCAAGCATGTTAGTCATAAAATTACTCAGTCCTCCTGTTCAATCCACAGTAACTTCCTACTTTACTGTTGGTAGAGCGTAGTACAGCAGTCTTAAGAGATATTCTGTGGCACACTTATTCATAATAATCACTTTTTTCCCCCATATTCGTTTGTTTAGACACTTCACACTGTGACACGGCTCTGGTATACCGATCGAGTCTGTCCCGCGCTGCGTAACGCTTCAAATACTCAGCGTAACGCTTCAGATACTCAGCAATATCTTGGATGGTTTGGCCGGTAGACGCTCAAAGGAAATTATACGCTTCAAGAGAAAATTTTCTCTTGACGCTTTTGCCGCACATTCGTTCGCTGTCTTTCACAAGCTGAGTCAGCGAACAACCATGTCGATTACGTAAAAGCGGTTACGCTGGCAAATATTGAAGAGTTTGTAATGGGGAGAGTGTGATAGGAAACGAAGAGGAATTAATTTCTCATGAGGAATTGTTTTGAAGGAAATGCCTCTGTCTTTTATCCCCGTCTATCCGTTTGCTAACTTTGTTGTTTTTCAGTGATTTCACCGCGTTCAAATTTAGGCTATTTTCCTTGATTTTCAACGTTATCCAAAATTCCAAATATTACCCACCCACAAAAGCATGTAATCAATCATGACTTCCAAACAAACTTTGATATTTTCGACGTGACCACTCTTACGCAATACAATCTTCACCTGCTCCTCGGATCTTGAGCTTTGAATGCCGTTTATTAAAGCATTTCCTTTTCCGCTACGAAACGCGCATAGTTTTACGCCTCACTCTGTTTCGAAATTAAACATCAACAGCATCTATCGTATTGATCCAAATATTTTTTATCGAATTACGAAGCAACCTCCCCCCTTTTACCGGGTGGAAACAACTGATATATAATTTGATCAACGACGTTGATCTCTCTTTGTTGTGTTTATACACACAAAACTGCCTTGAGCTAGTATAATTAATGATTGCCTCTTAACGGCACGGATATGATCATAAATTCACTTCAGTATTGTTGGATAACTGTTCGAATTTGACAGAACAAGTTTACATAGTAAGTTTGATCGATGCGAATCAAAAACTTTGTCGGCAGTGAACGGAAATTTCTTCAACTGTATATGACAAAAAGATGCAAGTGCATGTGGAACAACGATAGATTTGAAATTAAGGTTTTACCCGGTACAGTAGAAAAATTTCGCGATGCGTGATGGTTCATCAATGGTTTTTTTTGCAGAGGTTGTAATTATGCAAGGAAAATTAAGGTCGCATGAAATGCTAAAAATGGCCGCGTGCCTTCTCGTTCTACCCTAGAAATACTCTTTACTTTGTTCAAAAGGGTACAACAAGCACAAATTTGAAATGTTGATGGATTTTTATTGCTTGATTGAATGTGAACGTGTTGGGAAGTCATAATACATGACATTTTTTTTCCCTTCCGTGATACCTTAACATCGTTAGTTTCCCGTCGGAATTTTTTTAAGCAAATGATTGCGATCCTTTGAGTAGAGCTTTAAAATAGTAGGCTACCTCATTATGGCAAAAGCCGCAGTTCATATCTTCTGGTTCCTAATTAGCTAATTGGTTTGCCCCCAGAACGACGGTCTCGATGAAGCGACCTTCGTCAACTGTTCTAAAACTGACCCGTTCCTCTCCCCCCCCCCCCCTTCAAGGTTACCGCTTTGTTACCTTGCTGTTCCAAGAATGAGTTTGAGCAATGCAGTGACAATGAACTAACGCATTGTTTGTCGTACTTCATTAGAAACATTTTTTGTTGATCATGCGTTTCTAATGACTTTTAGGTGTGGTGGTTTCTTCTTGTTAGGCAGTCGGTCTAGTTAAAGACCATTTAATAATGAAATAAAAGGGAAAAAAAAACCCGTATACGATACGGCTCTTGATTGAGTTGAACTGGTAACTGTAAGAATTCAGTACGCCCATCCGAATTTCCGTGAGTGATCAAGTACTTCCTTATGTGAAATGAGCAGCTTTTTACAAAAGATAATTGGTTTGTTAAATTTTCCTGGTGAAGTTAGTAAAAGGCCAAAATCTTCAACATCAGCGACCTTTGACGAACTAATGGTCTATGTTAATATATTATCCATATATTAGTCATTGGCTTTCAACGACTCAGTTGGGTATAAAAGATGCTCAGCGAAATGCTGCTTCATTATTGATCAACAAAGCTGACTTTTCAGAATTATTAGCCTGAAGTGTATGAACTAATATCAACTGCAGGAATTCGTCAAGTCATGAAAATAACTAAAACGTGTTTACGATTCAACCATTGATCGGTGCTCTTTGAGCGGCGAAGTTTTGAGAAAAAATATCAGAAAAAAAACTGACGCAAAGAAAAGTTGTGGTTGCAAATGAATCAAAAACGGAAGTCTGATAAAGACGGAAATATATCTGAGAGTTTTAGGCGTTTACGGTTGTGGTGAGATTGGACACTCTTACGGATTGGCGGTTTCTCTGTATCCTAGCCAATCGTTTGATAAACCATATTTTATTTTGAATTTTCTGGAAGTCCTACACTGACTTATTAATGAAGCAAAGTGATCTGCATAATTTGAAACAAAGAGGACAAAGCCATTTTATCAAACTAAATCGTATAAGTATGGTATTTGACGTAGCATGTATGCATGACAGTTTGACGTGTACAGACTGAAGAATCTATTATGTATTGAACGTGCCTATACGCCGGTTGATGTTTCCCTTATTAATCAACGACGACGACAAGAGGTTGTTTCCAGACTGACGTGAAACTTAAAAATTTATTTTATCAAAGTATATCTTGTGTTAGAGTTCTCAAAATAAACATCAATTTTGATGATGGTCCATCACTTTTCAAAGCCTGGAAAATGATCTATGTACAATTCCACAACTTTCGTGGTTTATTAAAAGCTGTGCGACGCTATAAAGAAGGTAAGAAGTTTGGAACATAACCTTGACATTAATTAAAAAAGAAAAAGTTAACCCCACCGTTTTCGATTCATCTACACTAAAACACTTTAAATGAATTATACATATAAAATTTCATATATTAAATATTAACAAATAAGATCTTGGTTGCCAATAATTTGGTTTTAGACATTGTCAGTGTCGACGTAAGCAGTTTGTGATTCTTGACAACACCATGATGATGACGATGAGTTGTCATCTGTTTGTTGAGAGTCTTCTTCTAGTTGGCTGTAGGAGAGGGACTGGGTAACAGAAGAACTTGGATGACTTGGTGTGGGTTTCAGGTTGTAAACAATGACACCCAATATTATTAATACTAAAGATCCAAGGTACAGAGCAGAGAACTGAAACAAAAACATTGTGAGAATTCTGTAGTAATATTGTTTTCTCTAATGAACTGCTCATATTGATAAAAGCGCTCTTGACATCCCTCCAGATTCATAATATGTTATTTCAAGTAACTGCTCCCTATAGCCTCTTCCTTTATTGCATGTATTTTTGGCTATACCTTTCTCTATTTATCATTTCACTTTAAATAAATTAGCAGCTCTTTTCAACCACTTCATCTCAGAACTTTTTCAACTCTTTTCATAATTTTTTCCCTAATAATATCAAGTAAATGCACCCAACACATTTGATTCTGGTTGGCATCATCCTCTACTTATCCATTCATTTCATCTACTTACAAAATCCATACTTTACCAAGCAAACATATGATGAGAATAATTTGGATATATCAACAAAGGTTGAAATGGTAAATTGGCCACCGTAACGATTACAAAAGCTGACGTTTCGAGCGTTAGTCCTTGGTCGGAGCGAAAGGGCTAACGATGAGAATAAACTGTCAGCAACAGAGGCTAACCTTATATCAAACACTTGGATTTCCCTGAATAATATACAGGGAAATGTACAGGAGGTGGAAGGTTAGTCATCCACAGCCATCCTTGACTAATAAATTTTGCAGCCATTTTTCTTTTTTACAGCCATTTTACCATTCAACAATTAAGCATGAAGCGATTGTAGAGTATGGAGTGAGTCCAGAGCATGACAAAAAAATGTTTTTTGCCACCTTCACCCTCTTCCTCCATGCATTCATGTTTGGTAATCCCCTACAGCTCTTACTTTGCTTATACCCTGCAACTACATTTTTGTATTCTTTGGCAATGTAAAAGGGCTGTTCGCTGATTATTTGCTGATTAAGGGTTGTGTCACTCACCTTGTAATGGAACAGAAATAATCCACAGAGTAAGCTGTAAAAGTCTGCCGTCAGTAAAGACAAATTTACAACTGTGGCACTGCTGGCTTTCATAGTAACAGGTACCAGGTTATATAGCAGAAACAAACAAAGTCCAAAGCCAATGAAGTACAAAACTAAAAGGGAATTTAAGAGCTCAATCAATTCAATACCAACATTCAAATGCTAAGTAATCTACAGCAGTAGAGTGCACAGGAAATATTTGATGCTAAATATTATTCCATAACATTTCATTTTTTTATGAATTTAATAGAAGCATTGCAAAAGACAAGAAGTTTAAGAAAGCTCCTTCAACAAACCAATTTTATAGTCCCACTCAATTGCTGACAATTAATGTCTTTCAAGAATTACCCTGATGAGATAAAAAAGACACTAAATGGAAATGTGAAATTAATGCTGACTACGTCAACAAATGTAAGTGTGGCATATACAGAAAAAAACGTCAGATTCACTTTGAGGCCTTAGTCTCCCCCCCAAAAAAAATGGTTGGCACCTTAGCAATCCAGAGCTGGTAACTAGAAGCGACAATTTCACATGTTATAAAAAGACAATCATCATTAATTCATGACATCAAACTCACATCTGAATCGCTGAGATAATACTCCCAAAGAGTCCAATCATGCCAAGAAATTCAACTCTACTAAAGTTCTTCACCACAAATTCCTCTGCAACATTAGAAATTCCATACATAATAGCTCCACATAACACCAAAACATCCCCTATGGCTTGATTATTACCTGTCAAGGAACAATATTAAAAAAATCATCAATTAAAGAACATCTCTGAATAAGTTACATTTAAGCAGTTGATACAACTTTAGAATCTGAATAATATTGACTAGAAACATCAATATAATGTATAATACAAAATAACATCATGAATTTGAGTTCATTGCTTAAAAGATTCCCCTGAAACTTTCACCAAAAACCAAATGAAAATGCATGCAAACAAATTATACTAAGCCAAACAAATAATTTTACCTTCTGCAAGGAGAGGAAAAACAAAACAATTGGAGAGAAATTGAAGGAATGATGGACGAGAAGAATTAACAAATTAGAGACACACAGATAGCACTATCATCAGCACTGCAATTCAGTGAACTTCTGGCCAAATCAGAGAGAGGCACAAACCCAAACCTATTCAAAAAGCCTGCCCACTAATTTCTTATTTAACCCTAAGATTAGAGAGTTTATACTCCCAAATGATTATTTTTTTCTACTCGCCCAGTCATGGTGTTTCTTCAAAACAATAACTTTTAAGTGATGATACTTGAAATTTATCACCTCTCTGATTAAACGTATATTAAGAGTACAAAGTTAGGGAATTTATCAACGATCACTTGTGGGATTGAAAGTGGCAATCTGACTGTTATTACATCTCTTTACACTGTCATTCCTAATGGTGAAGGCCTTCTGGCCCTTAAACATTTTTTTGATCAACGTACTGTTAAGGAACCTAAATCTGAAACACTACTACCCTTAGCCGAACTACTGCTCACACTCAATTGTTTTCATTTGGAAACAACTTCAAACAAACCAATGGTGTAGCCATGAGCACCAAAATGGGACCTAGCTATGCCAATCTTTTTGCAGGTTTTGTCGAACATCAATTTTTCAGCCAATACAACGGCTCCAAACCTGAACTCTACGGTCACTACATCGACAACTGTATCGGCGCTACCTCCTCTACCAGAGAGGAGCTCACTCAATTCATAACCGCAGTCAATTCTTTTCACCCGGCTCTGAAATATACCTGGGAAATTTCTGACAATTCTNGGGGAAGGGGCAGTGACTTGTACTGGACTGACATAATTGAGTGGGGTTGGAGGAGAAGCAATACTCCTTAAAACTTAGTGCTAAGAAAGAGAAGGTAAGCCTTGCTGGTAACTTTACCATTGATGCAGGAGCAGGTACTTTCAAATAAGATAAACTCAGTGCTCAGTAACTCTATTGGTACTGTTTTTTTTCCCTACGTATACCTAAATGCCTAATAGGTTTATTCAACAATGATGACTGAAATAACAAGTTTGCTTGCAAAAAAAACTATCAAAACAATTACCGGTATGTCCTTTGTCACTACCTAATATTTATGTGCCATTTTATAATTTTTTTACCATGGCTCACCTGAATGCTGGTTAAATTTGTATACTGATAAGCTTTTACAACCAAATAATTTGCCTCCACATCACAGAGTGAAATTAAAAAATATTTCCATCCTGTTTCAATAAGTCTCTTTTTAAATTCAATAGGATGACAGGCCAGCGCTGTTGTGTGTATAAGTCCCAATAATAAATAGTTCAGGAAACTTTGTGTTGTCGGAATCTCAACGTTATAATCAGAAGCCAGGAGCTGACTAAATACACCAGTCCCACAAACAAGCCATGACAATAACTGACCCAAGGCAAGAATTGCAAGGAATTTCCTAAAGTGGAGGAGACAGTGATCAAAACTCAAGTAACATCAGTTGGTTGTGATTAAATGGTAGGGTCCAGTTGTTCTGTTGACTGTTTTCTTGTGTACAATGTCATGAATAGTTCCTTTAATTCATATGATATGGTGGCCGTTTTTAACAACTGCCAACAGATTGAAACTGACCACTCACAACCATCATGTTTCACTCTAACAAAGGGCTAATGCTCAAAACATCAGCTTAGAAATTAAACTCTTGACAGTGGCCAATAGTCCAGTTTACAGTCGTGTGCTTGGTTGCCAAGCCTTTGAATGGGAGTGAGGCTAGGGTTGACCTTGTTATGATACAAACCTTGCTGCCTTTCAAATGTAAATCACTTGGTTATCATGCTAAGTAGATACAGGTCTCTATCACAACAAGGTCACCTTCAGCCTCACTCTGAATCAAAGGCTTGGCAACTAAGTTCAGAACTGTAAAATGGCCTATTTACTATATCAATGCAATTGATAAAACAAATGATTAAAAACTGGATCATTGGATAATGCAATTCAAGACTTTTTATTGGCTTAGCCATTATGGAATATGAGCCAATATACCATAATCTACAACTATGGTAAGCGTACACATCAGCTTAAAATTAAAAGGGAGCTAAAAATGTAATAAAATTTAATAATTTAATTTAACGTTTTTAATAAAACAATTATTCCACTCACTCTTGTTGGATATGAGATGATTAGAGCCAACTCGGCGCTACAGGCCTCGTTGGCTATTTACCATCTCATATCCAACGCGTGCTTGTGGAATAATTCTTAATTAGCTTGTTATGTCATTTAGGTTGGGAGATGACAAAATGCAAAGCCCTACTCCATGGAGTACCCTATAGAGTACCCCTAAAAAAAGTATTGGTCAAATAAAATACTTCATAAACATGGAGTTGGGCTCCGTGTTTTGTCATCTCCCATCTAGGTCTACAGAATATCATGAAATTATATTGCCAGACAATTTTTCTCTTAATTCTTAGAATAAATTTGGCTCAAGTTGTTGAAACCTCAGTCAAGACATCAATCCTTCTCATGAGATCTAAGAACTACAATCAAGCGGGCAAAAATATTATAATTATATTAGAACAGTGTTAAACAGGGATGTCCTTCATGTCCCTGACACTGTTTTCTTCAGTCTTTCCACCTTATTAACGCTATGTTCTGGAAAATTTTCAATAAACAAAATCACGGAAGTAACTTTAACATCAAAAGTGCGCTTACCGCGTGAAAATTCGCTGAAAAAAGGGACGGATACCAACTGTGCGTTCACACTGTTCGTCCGCCATCTTGTAAATTCTTTTTATGGATATGATGTCCAAATTAGGAATAACTGCATGCGAGGTTGTTTTGGTGAAGCAACTCTTGACGGAAGAGTTATTATCATCGAAGCGTAATAATATTTCGTATGGTTTCACTTTCCAAGGTATGCGATGTTTCCCACGTTTTTTCCAAGGGAAACAATTTCATAGGATAATTTTTGATAATGCTGCCTTTTCGGCAGCTGTAATATATCCACGTTTAACGTTTTACGATGTATCACTTCAACATTTTCCAGTAGAGATCTGACATAATTTATTAGCAATTCACGCAGTGAACTCGTTCTTACCTTACATATATCTTGTTTTGTGCTTGATTTTAGTTTTAGGAAGTTGATTTTTACTTAAGGATAATGTATTAAATCATTTTGTGTTATTTTCGTTGCAGAATTTTCACAGAAAACGATTTGCCTTTGGCCAGTTTGAATATGCATATTGCCACATAATATTAAATTCTTCAAGGTGCTAAGGATCGTTTAAATCTGAAGATGAGTCGTCAAAGATCTGCAGACGCGGCTCGCTTCAAGCCAAAATATTTTTACCAGTTCAGAATTATTTTAATCGGCGACAGCACTGTTGGGAAATCCTCGCTTTTGCGGCAGTTTACGGAAGGTCAATTCATCGAAAATTCGGACCCAACAGTCGGTGTGGATTTCCATGTCAGGGTTGTAATGCTTACATGTGAGTTTTTTTATCATTTTACCTAGCGTTTGTCATGTTGCGTGTCGAATTTTTTCCTTGAGAAATATTAACTATCAGTTGTTTTACTGATAATGTAACCATTCTTAGCATGTCGTCGCTAATTCTTTTCCTGTTGTAGGAAATGTTTTGTTGCTTTCTCGCGTGTGGTACTAGGTACAACTACATATTTTTTTAAAGTAATGAGGATTCTGATTAATTCTCGATCGTTTGCCGCGACTGCATTTCGGCGGATGGCGTTCGTTTAATTCTTGTTTAAGTATGAAGATTATATGCCTTGTTTAATTTTACCAAGTTGAACGTTTTAATATCCACCTTAGATTTGCATTCAACCGCTGCAAATGTGTCTTAAGTAGGTTTTACGGGAGCTAATTTGAATTAATAACTCTGCTTTTACATCCTTATTCAAAAAGATTAGCCGTCACCTGTTGGACCCTGGGAGGAAAAAATTCATACATTTATACTCGCTAATTTGGGAACTCTAATTAGGAAATATTTACATTAGTAATGCCTATATCAACTGTTCGGGTTAAGTGGTTTAACTGAAATCGAACAGGTTTTTTAAATAGTCACATTTTACGCAGGCCATATTATCAGATATTGCCTCAAATGCATCTTCAACTGATTAATTTAGGTTAAAATGATTTTTGCTTAGTTTAGATGCTGTGCTGAGAAATTATTGTAATGTTTATAAATTGGGAAATGTTTTCCAGGATTTCATGGCTTATGTATTTTATTATTGGTTAATTTACAATTCACTGGTGCTGTATTTCAAACATGATTATTACATGTAATAAGTACAGCCTTCCATATCATGACAGGATGGAAACCTTGCTCACTGTAAGGACCTCCCTCCCTTGTAAATCCTGAGAACACTCTCTGAGGATTTGTGAGGGAGAATGAGAGGTACTTACAGTGTGCATGGTTTCTGTCCTGTCATGATATTTTTATAATTTTGATGGACAGTCACATGCAAGTCAGTAAGACAGTTTAAGAGCATGCTAAATATTGATCTGACTTAAGCCAATTATTCTAAGTACACCTAAAATACATAGCACTTGTGATCATGATGTACTCAAGTGTGGAAGGAGAATTGTCTCTTTGTGAGAAGTTTGGGACTTGTCATTCAATACATTTACCCCCCATTATTTGTAGATTTTTACATAATAAGCTACAAGCTCTCAAAGCTGTGCTCCTAGAAGAATCACTGGATGCCAAAAGGCTTAATTATCAGTTATCAGAGGTGCATGGCTGTTCAAAGCTTTATGGACAGTTTTTCAAGTCACCAATAAGCAAAAACAAGTTGCCCTGGCAACTGCACTCTGTTATGACACAGTGTGGTAAAGAGTTAGGCTTGAGGTATTGACCAGCTCTATTTCACAGTAGCTACTGTAATTTATCAGGTGATACAATTTGTTGATTTTCTGTTTTGTGTTCTTCAGCTGATGTCAGGATAAAGTTGCAGATTTGGGACACAGCAGGACAGGAGAGATTTCGTGCCATCACATACTCATACTATAGAAACACTGTTGGATGCTTGATTGTTTATGATATCACTAACAGAGAATCATTCCTTAACATCAAAGACTGGTATACAGAGGCAAAGAATTGTGTAGAGGAAAGTGATGTTGTCTTTATGTTGGTAGGTCATAAAATTGACAAAGAATCAATGAGAAAAGTTTCCACAGAGGAAGGAGAACGATTTGCAGAAGCAAACAACATGATGTTTATTGAGACATCAGCTAAGGTTTTATGCAATATTGAGGAAGCTTTTTTCAGAGTGACTGAGGAAGTGCATAAACGCATGGAGAGAGGAGACCTGGGACTGAGAGATGGCTGGGATGGGATTAAGGCACTTCCTATGCGCCCTACAGATGTGCTGGGTATTGGACATGCTATTTCAGCAGAAGACTTACTGGAACATCATCATGAGTCCAAAAGGTGCTGCACGGGTTGATGTTTTTTTTTTTTTTTCCATACATACCAGGAGAAAATGAAATTGACCTTCTAAACAAAACTAAACATATCCCAATAGTGAACATCTAGAATTTTACTCTGATTGAGCTAAAAATATTTGACATCAACTATGTTCTTTCTAGAAACAAAATTTACCCAACATAAAACCCTACTCTGTAATCAGCTAGGGGAAAATTTTGTTGCTCATATTCTTCATTTTTCTTTGTTATGGGTTCTTCTGTGTCTTCTGTTTGGAATGAACTTAGCATTTGTTAAACCTAAGTAACAAGTTGTCAGATAATTTCACTGAGTGTACTTCCTGTCACCAAATGTAAATGCTGTGGGAAGTGTTGCAATTTATGTAGGTCTGACCCAGGTAGCAATAAGATTACTTGATAGGTAAATAGTCCATTGTTCTGCAAGCATACCCTTGGCCAAAGTCATGTGGTTTTACTGTAAAGGATTTAAAACACCACTCTACTCTTGTTTTAAGGCCATGAAACATTTTCTTCCATTTCTTGACACCTGTGAGAACACCTTCAGAAACTAGAGTGGGTTCTGGAGGTACTAGATGTTTACAATTTTGCCACTCATCAGATATTGTTTGATAGGGAAACATTTATTTGTGGTAAGGAACTAGAATTGTGTTAGATATCTATTAAAGAGCTGGAGTGGTAACGTTAAACCTGCCATTACTTGGTATTAAAACATATATTGGACTCACACAGTAGATAGTTTAAACGCAGGATAAAGGTTGATCATATAGTTTTGTGAGTGAGAAAGTCCTGTAAAGGACTATTACAGTACTTAACTATTTTGGCATCATCAAATTTTTCAATTAATTCTGATGATGACTTCTACTTTGTCGTTGTGTCATCAGCAACTGTCACCAACTAAAGTCCTCTCCTTTACCACTCTCACTTTTTAGATTACATGATCAACAATTACACTGACTGATAGCATTTTTAAGGGGATGTTATGGGGTATTTCCTCACTTATGACCTTTAAAAGTCAGCCAGAGTAGATTATAACCTAACTAAAATGTGTGAAGTGTAGCAACAAGGACAGTAGTGTTTTCTGAAGCTAAAAAAGGTTAAGTTTTTGCCAATTTTACTGTTGTGTAGTGCTAGTAAAAAAATGTGGGGGTGTTTTGGATAAGAATGTCAACTTAAGGTTATTAGCTAAAGAGAGAAGATGTCATTTGCAATACTTTTTAATTGTGTATAAGTCAAGAAGTTTTTATTTTGTTGATTCAGGTGGTTTCCTACTATTTTATGTTACTTCGTAACTTTTAATGAGCAGGTTTGGTTTTATTTATAAATGAGTGTGAAATGTAGAGCTTATGATTAATTTTTTTACTCATTTTTTAAGAAAACAGGCAGATCTAGTTATTATGAGGTTTCTTCAATTAAAAACAAACACACCTTTCCCCAAGTTGTTTTCTTGTCATTTTGTTCTAACATGAAATAAGAGGGACACCTATTTCAGTGGACAGCCTTTTTTAAAGTACACTGTAGCCCAGGCAGGGTTCTTGGATAAGAAACTAAACCATATCCCCACCACTAGGTACATATATGTTCCAGCAGATTGTTGGTGTATGCAAGAGCTCCTGGCAAGCTGGAGGAGTGAGCTATTAGGGACCTTAAGTAGTCAGGACGGCAATGCCAAGGAAGACTTCGCTTAAAAAATGAATTTCTACTCTTAGCTAGAATTTCAAAAGTAGCTGCATGAGCTTATTGTCTCATACGGCGCACAGCTCAACTTCAGTATGACGTATAAAAGTAGCATTGAGTTCCAAATGGAAATTAAAGTATTTGCCATCATTTTGGCTTGCAGATGATGCAAATTTTGGCGATTACACATTGTTTTGCATAGGACGGCTAAGAAATGTACAAAGTTTCAAAATGCACGTGCTGAGCTATTGTTCTGCCAATTGGATCTCTTGGTTTTCTACGTCCTTGTTGCTGTCACCATCGTGGTTGCTTAAGGTCCCTATTGTCTAAGCTAATCAAAATTGAGTGAGAAAGTTATGCCTGTTTCATTACCTTGTAATTGGGGTGAAAGAACAAAGTCTTTTTCAGGGGACAAGAGGATATATTGTTATTCCAAGATAAAACTGTCATGGACAAAGGCTTAATTAAGGAAAACAAATAATAGTGCAGTGGTCAACAAAGAAAATTGGACAAGGAAATCACATACTCATTAATATACACTACCTTTATAATTTTTCACCAAGAATAATTACTTCCACCAAACAGTGTAAGATTTAAGAAGAGGCTCATCTGAACAACTTGCAAACATTCTTCTATAATAGCCATTTTGTTTTCTCAGCTGAAACTCACAGTTTTAACCTCACAAGTAGATGTGAAAGTGAACTCAAGGATTTTGGGATGAAGAGAAAAGTGACAAAAAGTCTTTCAACTTTTAGTTTGACAGAATTTAAGTTGAAAGCAAACTAACAATGGTCAAGGCTTTGGTTCTGATGAACACAGGTGAAAAATAAGCAACTACGAAAATAATACTGACAAATAAATGTGATTAAACAGGTGGTGTAACTGAGAACAGCTTTACAACATCTACACATGTTTGGTCCTGTTGAAAACAAAAAGCAATCGTGGAAAATTCTCTAGTGAGAGGTACCCACCCATCACCTCATAAATGTATGTAAAAAACCTGCATTATACTGCAGATATTTCAGCATCTTCAGGAATGAGGCCAAGACCTTTCAATGCAAAAATAGCTGCCTGTGCTTTAGCCTGTTTCTTGTTTCCACACACCACTGCAGGCTGGTACTCTACACTGTTCACTAAAACTTTAAACAGAAACTGTTTGTGGTGTGCAGGGCCATGATCAAAGACTAAAGTGTAGTCAGGCAGTTGCCATTTCCTTTTACTGCAGTACTCAGCCAGGGCAGACACAGGGTGCTTTCCTGCAAAGTAAGATCAAAAAAAAGTATTTAATATGAGAAAAAGGCATGTGGAAACATGAACATCACTTCAACAAAATGTGGCATCTATGGGCTTTGATAAAGCTATTCTAGAGTGGACCTCCATAAAATGCAAGACAAGGATTAGAGAAGACAATATAAAAAACAGGCCAAGCAACAGTCTGTCTCTGGCACAACCAATTGACAGCCTCACTGTTAATGTACAATTGATCTATTCATGTCACAAGAAGGCCAACTAACAGGTTAGGAGAAGCATACTTCAACACTGATGCAACACAGAACACTGCCAAGGTTTAGCCTGTTTTTTGATTATATTGAAACTGAAATATGTAGTTTTGTCCCCAGCTTATGAGATCATTTGTTTAATATTGTCTACAGCTTTAACCCCTGCCACAATTCCTGTGTAAGAAACAGTGTTCAAGACACTACTGAAAGAAAGATGTTTATCCACCAAAACAGCCACTGAGCAAAATAATACACTTACCCTTGCAAAAGGCCTGTATTGACCCTGAACAATAAAAGAGGAACAATGCCTTGAAGCTTTGCTAACCTGTGCTGTATTGGTGGATAGTTACCTTCCATTAAAGTCCATTTCAAAAATGAAGAGAGAACTGAAGAAAAAGTGATCATCAACTGAATTTTGCTCAAGTATCAAATGTTATTATCTCATTGGAAAGCAAGATATTATTTTGAGTTGAAATTTTACTGCAGGAGTATCAAATTTGTACTGTTAAAAAAAACTCCTTTAAATTGTAAATAATGGAAGGTGAAAATATATAATTTAGTGGCTTGATCCCTGGAACCTGTGATTGAGTATTACCATGATTAAAGATTAAGATTAGCTAGCCCCTATGTTCTTTTGGAAGAGGTATCCAAGATAACTGGGATCATCATGTATCAAAGGAGCTGGAAAATTAGATTCAAACAGATTCATCTTCTGATCCATGAAAACAGGCTACTATCTTTAATTTGTGTGAAACCCTTTCGTTGAAAAAGTCAATGTTGACAATGATTTCTCTGGCACTCTCTCCATTTTTGGAAAGGACTACTGGGGTGATTTTGCGTTAAGAATGTTCATTAATGAACCCTATAATTTGAATTTCAGAACTGGCCTACTTTATTTGAGACAAGAAGTTCTTAAATGTCTTTTAAAAGGATAATGGTGACAGAGTGAGAAATGGATTCAATTCATGCCTTTCTAATTTGATTTTAAAGATCAAATGCCTTTTTCTACAATCATGGAAAAAACTTGCATCATATAATGTTATGGTATTAACTTTTTAGGAGGATTATGCTGACTTCTTAAAAATATATCTTCTGATTTGTGTATATAACACATGATTTGCCAAAGCAATACTATTAGCAAATCATGGAAAATACAAAATTGTTTCATCTGTATAAATTGGATGTGAGAAAGTAAAAAGACCAAAAGGCATGTAAATGGAGTTACTCATTTGTGCATTATACTGTCTAGTGAGTCAACACATTCTAAAAACTCACAACAGTTTCAAAAAAAAGTTCTGAAATTCAGTTAGGACTTGTTCAAGAATGAAGGTATCCAGCCACAAAACACACCCAATCATATTTACCTGACTTCATCATAAATAAGTCTTCGTGTGATCATCATTTGATGGTACAATCTCCTTGTGTTGCTAAAATTCTCAACATCGGATCAAGAGGCATTGCAAATTGAATTGCTTGTATGCAGGCTTCATTTCAAAGGGGTTGATGCCTTTTACTGCTGGGAAAAATTTATTTGTTTCCATGCATCAGCATAGAATGGCACAATTCACTGGGCCATTCTATGCTGTATGTCAAAAATCTGTGACCAGTATTGAAATCTTTAATATGCATGAGCTGGGTAAACAATATACTGCTTGTAGAACAACAGTGACAAAATCAGAAAAGGAGCAAAAGTTGCTATCACCAAGTAACAAGCATGGATATAGTTATAGTCTGCAAAATGTCACAGCCTCGCATGTAAATTCAAATCTTTGACTAGCATTTGATTGAATGGCTGGACCCATGATTACAGAAGGTGTTCTTTATTCTCTTTTTTTTTTTTTAAACAATATAATCTAATTATAAATGAGTTGTAAACTCCAATTCTCAATTTATCACTGTTGTCAGAATTTTCAAACAAGAAGTTGCCACTCTATTGAATGATATGACTTTATAGAAAAAACCCAAAGAAAGATGTAGAGGAGAGAAAAACATAACAGAAATATGCTTTGAGATTATGCAATTGTGATGATATTTCTTACAAGGGATATGGGAAAAAAAAAAAAGATGAGGTATAAAGGAAGATTTCCAAACAAAATCAAAGAAATAAAAGACAGCTACACATAGAGAGCATGTATGGACTGAGAAACATATGCAGAAATAACCTCACAATTTGGTTGGTCAACAAGCAATTCAAATTCCAATGCCTCTTGAACAAAGCACTCAAATTGAAACTATACATGGTATTGTTACCTAATAATTTTATTCATAACAATTATTGCTCTCTCTGACAAAAGCTCCTCCCCCTTCCCCCCAACAGAAAAAAAATACTGGATAATGGGAACCTGTTGAAAGTTAAGTCAACTGCAAGAGTTGTAATGAGCTACACTAACCTACTTTTGACCAATGTCAGTCACTTGAAGCCATTTTACACATCTACAAATGAAATTTCCAACACACACCACACATTGGCGATACAAGAAATATCTCATTTAACTTGTCTTCACAGTCCATACAGAATAATATGAATCCTTTATTTTTTCCCCCATGGCTCATATACTCCAGCCTTTGGCCATAAATTGAAAGGGGAAACACTTGGATTGTCAATAACAACACATACAGTCAAAACCCGCAAGTAAGAACCTAAAAATTAAGAACCTGTTAGCCTAAAATTTGCCATTTATACCCCCTATAAACAAGAACCTATTTAGCCTAAGAAAATTTAAATAGGTTCTTATTTTCTAAAATCATATAGTACATTACAGGTACACTGAAATTATTTACTGTAATCATAATCGAAGAAAAACTAGATTGCCATTGCTGTAAAACATGATTTTCTTAAGAAAAGTGAGTGCAAAATATGTAGTTACAAAATATAGGACAATTACGAACTTGTTATGCAGGTGTGTTTTTCTCCAAGAATAAGAACCTAAATAGCCTAAAATTTTGTTAAGTACCATTATATAAGAACCTGTTTAGGCTAACTCCTAAAAATGTAGGTTCTTACTTGCGGGTCTTTACTGTATGGAGACAACAGTATAAAGGTCAGTGACAGTTAGCTGCAGCAATTTGCCAGGAGTCAAGATGTAAATGTCAAACTTGGAGAGAGAAAATAAGTATGAACTGTAAACCACTTTGAGAACTTCTTTCCCTTTTACATGTACCATTTTTATACTCTCCAAAAAAACCATTTATTTATAAAAAAATTTCTTAACGATTATCATGATGCTCACACAACAATAAGGTGATATCACAAGTAAGTAAAAAAACAGTGAGCGCAAGTCACCTTGTAGGTCCAGAACTGTCGGAGCACTTTTCTTGGTGGCCTTTTCCTTTCCTGCACTGAGACCCTTCCTATCAATTTTGACAGTGAGAGCAATGGGTTCAGCATAACCTTCCCCTCTTTTGCCAATTACTTGTCCAGGTTTCCAACCCATCTTTTGGAGAAGTTTCATTCCAATACCGCCAGAAACTGGTGTGAGGTTGTGGAACATGTCCTACAATGACAGTTCAATATCAGAGCCACCAGATACAACAGGTATAGTATTCAAAATAGCATTTATTGGTGGACACCTGCATGTACAACAAAAAGAGTCATTTCAAAGCTACCGTAATTTCCAGCCATTTACCCGCACAGTTGTTTACCCGCACCGGCCAATTATTGCATATGGTGATAAAAAAAGTCAACAGATTACCCACACTGGTGGATAACCCGCACCTTAAAAGCAAAAAGAAAATTTGTACATAAAGGCTCTAGAGTTCATAGCCTTTCACACTCGACAGAATGCGAATTCGTGGCCACATTTTGTGCGAGCAATTGTTCAACGCCATGTCAAATTGTTGATTTCTCAAAAAAATTGATATCTCCAGTTCTACTAGGCTTAATAAGTCCCTTAAAACGGGAAAATTCTCTTCAGCTCAACTTACTGTTAACTGGAAATTTGTTACTGATGCTCCGGATACCCTTGGATTATTTTTGTCACCATCAAGGTTTTGTGTACAAGCGTGCCGATAAAAATCTGTTCATCACGCAACTAATTGTGTGTGAAATAAACTCGAGTCGGCATCATGTTTTCATGCCACTTTATGGCACTCTTAATACAATAAAATTCATTTGAGAGGTGGAACCGCAATCTACCAGTAGATTTCAAAATTGTCACATAACCCGCATCTCCCTATTATGTGCAGTGGCACGTGTTTAGGCAAAATCAACAGATTACCTGCGGGTAAATGGATGGAAATTATGGTAACATCCTCCTTTTTGAATGTGTACAGGTTAGGATTTTCTTTAATATTTGATTTTCTTTTTTTCAGGTCTGATTTTTGCTATTGCATAAATAGTGCTCTCTACTGCGAGGATCGTACATCATACGTATTTTCTTTAATATGTTGGTCACAAAGACATCCTCTGTCCAATTTTGATTGAACCTAACACAATTTAGAAATGTTAGGGTTTTAAAAAGATCAAAAAGTACATGCCGACACAAAGAAATCTACCTTTTTAGCCCATGCCTGGAAGCCTCCCTGCAAATCTTCCTTTGGCAAAAGATTCTTCACAAGCTCTCCAGTAAACTGGCCTGGCTTAACATTTGATTGACACCAATTCTGCATCTTCATTTGAATTTCCTGAAGAACCAACAGTGCTTCAATGTCATTAGGGTCTGTCTGCAGCCGACGTTGCGCATCCATTCGCTTAGCAACAAGGTAACTGATGTCCAGTTTCTGAAAGAGGAGAAAAATAGAATATTTCCCACATAGTCTGTACAGACAACATGAAACTAAAGGAAACAAAAACATCAACTATATACCTCATCAGAAGGTTGAGGAAACACTTCTACTTTTGGTTGTGTCTGAATTGCCGTGCCATCTGTGTTGGTAACCATTTCAGCCCCATCACTGACATCTTCTTTTTCTCTATGTTTATTTCCACTTGACACAGGAAACTGCTCCTGCAGTGGTTTGGATGACCCTACTATTGGGATCATGGGCTTGTTCACCTGGAAGAAGAAGAAGAAGATTAGAAAAGAAAACATCTCACAACCATCTAATACCTGGTTGCTCCCAGAAATTATACCTATTTACATAATAGAAATGTGAATGGAGTACTGTTTCTCCTTTACCAGATACTTACGCACTATAGGTAACCCCCCACCCCACCCCAGCCCCAAGGCCTGTTATCTCTCTTAGTGAGCACTCCATGATGATGCTAAGTTTAAATTAAAGTCTTTATCACTGAAGACAAGCATAGAGAGCCACATTGAATCAGTTATGTGCATTATATCTAGAACTGAAGCATAGTTTTAATGGTAAACATGCATTGCTTTTATCAACTTACTGGAAAGATGACAGGTGGTATTGTGATATCTGGTTTTTCTTTTATCAAAAATGGATGGTGTGCTACTGGCTGAGAATCTTCTTCCTTTTTTAGAGTTATCACACTTGTGTTACCACTGTTTACACTATCCTTTTCATCCTGTAGCTTTTTACAAAAAGCAGTAAGTTCAGCAATAGTTTTCCCTCCAGCCCTCTGAGCAACTTTTGTCTGCTGTGCAGAAAGATCAGTTGCGACTGGTTTGTTAATCAAAGTAGATATTTTATCTGTTACTGGTACATTAGACACTGATGAAGGATTGCTTGGTTGTGTTTTTTCCTTTGATTTTGACTGAGATCTAGTACTCCTATTCCTCCTTCTGTCTCTGGATGTTGACCTTTGACCTCTTCCTCCTGAGCTTGACCTTGACCTGGATCTTTTGTGTCTCCTATCCCTAGAAAAGGATCGTGATCTCTTCCTTGGGGTTTGAGTTCTTGATCTAGAGTGTGACCTTCTTCCTTTTGATCTTGAACGTGACAGTCTCCTTCTTAGAGAACTCCTTCTCCTTGGAGGTGACCTACCAGATCTAGAGTGTGATCTTGACCTTTGCCTCCTGAGAGATCCTACATTTCTTTTCCAGGAAGGTGGAGAAAATTGTCTTAAACTTTTAAGTACGGGAGATTTATGGCGTGACCTGGAGGGTGATCTTTTATGTCTTCCTGATCTAGAGAATGATCTTTTCCTTCGTCTTGGAGACCTAGACCTTGACCTACTGTTGTATGAATATGAACGTGATCTTGACTTGGATACAGTCCTTTTGCGGTGATTCCCTTTTGAGTTTGACCTTGACCTTGATCTCTTTTTGGATGTTTTACTCCTTGAATGTGACCGCGACCTTGATTTCTTTTTAGATGATTTTTTTCTTGAGTGTGACCGTGACCTAGACTTGTTTGCTGATTGCTTGGAACTTGATCGTGGACTGGACTTTCTTCTAGTCTCTCTGACACTGGAATGAGATCTTGAGTCTCTCTCATTGTCATTTCCGGACAATTCAGAATCTGGTGACTTTGACTTACTCCCGGAGGATGAATTGCTCTTTTTATTTTTCAACTCTTTTGCAGCACTCCTTGGACGATTACTGCCACAAATTCTTTTCACATCTATTTTTGCAGCAAATGGAGCCAAAATCATGTCACTTTTGTCGTTTCTGGAAGTGATACCTTTCATAGAACTCTCTAGCTTTTCTTCTTTGGAATCCAAAGTTTTGGATCCATGAACATCCTGGATAGAAGGTTTTTCGTCGCAGTTAGTCTGTGCTGAGTGAACAACGTTACCAGAACCACTAGTGCCATACTGTAACGCAGGCTCACCCTCCTTTTCTTCGGTGTCAAGATTTTTTTCTTTCTCAAGAACAAAATCGATTTCAATTTCGTCTGGTGTCCGTGATCTCGATCGAGACAGTGAACGTGATCTTGATCTTGACTTGAGTTTTCGTTTTTTATGCTTTTTCTTGTCCTTTGACTTCGACTTGGAGTGTTTCTTGTGCTTATGTTTTCTAGAGCGTTTCTCTTTTAAAACCTCCTCATTCTTTTTGTCTACCTTAGAAGAAGAATCCTCATCGCTGTTATTTTCACCACCCTCCTCCATCCTGTACACCGATTTTAAAACATTTGCAAGTTCGTCTGACACAAAACTCATCACTTAGGCAAAATCAATTATATAATTTTTGAGCCACTTCAGAACGGACGGAACGCATACCTCTGAAGCGAAGCCGCTGACCGAAATTGACTCTACGTCCATCGAAGGCTCTGGGAACGAATTTGCTTTCAGAGGCTCATACAAAACTTTCCAAGTTCAGAATTGATTTTAAAGGTATTTTGCTTTATCATTAAGCTATTTAGAGCAATCATGGCTTCACGAGATGGACCTAGGGCTTCTGGAACTGATGGCTCAGATTTTAGCCACAGACAGCGTGTAGCTTCACATTACAAAGAGAGCGTTCTTTGGAAGGGAAAATTGAAAGCTTGTCTTTGTCTCCATCTATTTCTGATCGTCGCTGCTGGAAGCTGGATTGCTGCTGCTTACAATGGGTACGAAGAAAATTATCGGTCTAGTCACGATTGTGAAGCTAAACGAAAACGTACATCCATTAAAATATGACCAGCTAATGGTTCTTCAAAAGATAACAGCGGGATTAAAATTAGTTGGTATTGCAGTAATGGAAGCAGTTATTTAAGTTTTTTTCTTTTTGTCGGTGATTTTTTTTTACTATTATTTCAGCCCATAATGTGGTTAGATCATCCACCCTACTAGGGAAAGCTTTCCATACAACCCCATATCTCATTATGCATATAGTGCGCGCTGAGATGAAAGAAAACAATGGCAAAACAATAGATAACCTTTGAGACTAGGATTTTGTTTATAGAATATAGAGAAATCTCTCCAACTTATTAAAACTTAATGAGGTTCATCTTGTCAATTAAATGGTGTTGATGTCGTGCCCCCCCTTGGGTGGTAAGTAGAGATAATGTGAAATGCTTTGAAATCCACTTGGTTAATCTTTAATGAGGTACTCTTAAGACAGTTAAAAGAAGAGATTAGTCTTTAATGAGGTAAAAGAACAAATTCCATGGCATGTAATTGGGCATTTAGGGATTGTAACAAAGGGATTGTAACAAAGGCATCGCAGCTAGAATAGAGAATTGTGAATTATACCTTGGAATTTTAAGTGTTGAGAGGTCAAACACCTTCAAGATTGTAAACTGAGTTAGTCATTCATTTGATTCACAGAATGGTTAAAGATCAAACAAAGCTTTGGCAGATGGTCTGGTTATTAAGTGCTCTACCTACAATTGTAGGGTTTTTAAGCCTCCCAAAGAACAATACCAAACAACTTTATGTTTATGCATTTGGAACTTTACTTATTGGAGTTGGTCCGTTAGTGTTTGGTGCCTGTGTCATAGTTCAAGAAATCTTCTACAATGTTAGTCAGGGGAGAGCACCAGCTACCCAGGAATGGCAGAATGCACCAATGAAAATGGCACTGTCAGCTTTCCTGATTCAATTTCATGGAATCAGCTTATATTATGCAAACAAGCTCATTACTGCATGGAGTTCCAAGGGAGAGAAAAAGACCTCATAATGAATCACAAATCTTAACATAGTTAGAAGGCTGCTGAAAGATCAGAGAGAATGGAACTATTCTTTTAAGAACTGGATGGTATGATTAAATTCAAAAACACTGATTATGACATCAATTGACAAAGGCTGTCAAAATTCCCGTCCAATGTTGGCATTCTAGAACTTATGGATTTTCGATGAAATCTAAGTGTTACAGGGATTCACTTGTAACAATAGTCACACTATTATTTCATGCTAAGCACACTACTGGATCAAATACTGAACTTGTTACTTGTAGACTTATTTCAGGTCTATCCAAAGAGTGTAAAAATGGAGGATAAAACAAATGTAAGGAGAGATTCGTGTATGTAATGATTTCTGCAAATTATACTCTTCAAATATGTGTCAATTCTATCTGTTGTTTAGTTAAAATATTCTGATTAGACTGAAGTAAAAATCAAAAATACTTTATTTTCTAGTCATGTTATATAAATACAAACATCCTTCAGTTTTCTGTCTGGCATCAGATGTTTCACTTCTGTTTATGCACTTTCATTTTTTCTTTTATCTCAAATATAGCAAAGATCTTGATAGTGACTGTAACTGTTGCTAAAGCAACCTTCTCTTGAAAAGTCAGGTGTTCCGTGTCCTTGTTTTCAAGTGAGATCTCTTTATTGTTTCCCACATATTCTTCATAATGCTCCTCTTTTATCAGCATTGGTGGTCCAAGTGATTGGTTGAGGATTTGAACAACTTCTAAAGCTTTGTTCTTTGCATTTCTGACTGCACAAACACAGGCTTGTCGTCTGAAGCAAAATGATAAACAAACCATTGAAAAAGTTTGTCTTTTCTCTGGGGCAGGGGTTAGAAGATTTCTGAATCCACTGACTTGAATGCATACACATTGTCTGGTGTAGGACTTACAAAGCAAGAGTCTACAAGGGCAGCCTTCCCTTTGTAAGTGACAATACCTCTGTTTCTTAAACTCATTAACTGAAAAGTACATGATCCATGAACTGCCCAATGCTGGAAGTACTACATTCAAATTATCCCACAGTTCACTGGTCAAATAATATTATCACTTCATGAAGTTTTTAATCCTTTTTCTCCTGAGAACTTGATGTAAGTTCTCTTCTGTATTCTACATATTTCTTTTGATGAGAATTAGGTGTTTGAAAACAAACAAAAACCCCTTTTTGATGATTTTCTTCTCAATACTTTTATTTTGGGTTAATATTATATTGAAATAGCTGAAAGGAGAGATCAATGATGAAACACTTTGTGAGTTTCAAGGGTATTGCAGACCTTTAAGAAAAGTAGGGGGCATTAGGGTTACAAGGTAAGGCTTTTAAGAATATATTTAGTAATTATAAACAAGTGATTGCGAAGATTTCTGAATTGATTTGAATGGGGTGGTAAGGGTCAAGATCCTTCCTTTTAAAGCTTGAGTACTAAGCTGGAGCACTTGGGTAGTTTTACAAGTACACTATACCCCTGCAGACAACTCTTTTGGCTTACCTTAACGATTCAAGCTTGCTAGCTGTGTGATAAAGCACAGGACTTGATACTTTCACTGTTTCATCGAGCTTTTCAACAAGTAGGTTACACACTTGTTCACACTTAGAGAAATCACTGAATTCTACAACTACTTCGATTTCCATTTGATATAGGTCATTAATTCTGTTCAAAGTTTTGTGGATGATAAAGTCTTTAACATGGTGAGATTTCAATGTCTGCAGAACATAGTCGACTCTGCGATTTACACTTGTCTTGACCTCCTCCACAGATTCCTGTCAGAAAAAAATGCAGTCAAGGCAAGAAGCTAATGGTAGGTAAAACCGTACGTTTCCTGAGCGCATGCATGGGTTTTAGCTTTGGTCCTAAATCGTACATGACATGAATCATGACTGTACCTGGTTTGATTAAGAACTCTCAGTAAATCCCTTAATCAATATACTTATGTAAAATCGCCTTATACGCTTACCTTGGCGTTAGAACAGACAATCGAAACCTTGGCTTTATCTGGAGGAAGCCTAACCTCTCCAGTCTCGGATATCTGGATTTCTCGTCTATTTTCAAACGCTCCTTCGAGTTTCGAGTCCATGCTTTTCGGAATTACACCTTCATTTTCACCCATCGAAGTAAATTGAGCGAACACTTTAGCTGGAATATGATTTCTGGGTTCCAATCGACTCATTTCTTACCAGAAATATCGCAAAAGAACGCCGCAGATGCCGAATAGTTATGTGCTGCGTCTGCCAACCACAACAAACAAATCTAACGGTGTTCTAGAGCCCAGTTCTCCAGAGTGTGATTGTGCTCGCTGCCATTGCCAGGCGCAGGATAATTGATAGCCATAAGAATGACAAATGATACAAAAACAAACCAAGAAAACAAAGCAATAAGAAAGGAAGATTTATTGTGGTAGGCGAAAAAAATCTTTGAGATGAGAATGGTACGTCGCTCGTTAGCTGACCAGCATTAACACGGTGAAAAAACCGGCACTGACAGCTCGATTTGCTGCGATTAATATTTAACAATTATTCGCCGAAGGCGAGGTGAATATCGTCGAATAATCCCCGAGACGAAGTCGAGGGGATTATTCGACAATATTCACCGAACCTGAGGCGAATAATTGTTTTAGTATAATTTCAGAGCTGAACAACAGAGAAATCTCTAAGATCATAACATTTTAGTAACATTTATTAACATTTTAGTTAAACATTTTATATAAACCGTGCGGAGCGGTTTTTATAGCGTCATATAAGGAACCGCTCGACCAATCAGATTGCTGGAAACTCTTTGCTCAGCTCTGAAATTATACTAATTAACAATTATTCGCCGAAGGCGAGGTGAATATCGTCGAATAATCCCCGAGACGAAGTCGAGGGGATTATTCGACAATATTCACCGAACCTGAGGCGAATAATTGTTTTAGTATAATTTCAGAGCTGAACAACAGAGAAATCTCTAAGATCATAACATTTTAGTAACATTTATTAACATTTTAGTTAAACATTTTATATAAACCGTGCGGAGCGGTTTTTATAGCGTCATATAAGGAACCGCTCGACCAATCAGATTGCTGGAAACTCTTTGCTCAGCTCTGAAATTATACTAATTAACAATTATTCCACGAGCGCGCGTTGGATAGGAGATGATAAATATCCACCACTAACCACCTTTACTTTGGTGAATAGTTGTTAATTATGATATGCCCAATGAACTTAAAATAACTCTAACTGAGATACGCTGAGTTGTTCTGATTCTTTAAGAAAAAAATTTTTTTTACAGATAATTCCAAAATAATCTGTTGTCACTTTAAGACACAGAAGTTAAATCAAATTTCGCTCTGGCCTTGCTGCTTCATTCCAGTTGTAAACAGAAACTTCCCTTAATGCTATAGATCTCTGGTTTGTGACAAGTTTATTGATCCTTAAGCTAATTGCAAAGACTGTTTTATTTGCCAAGTCTTTTGGGAAAGGATGAATTCTTTTATGTCCTATGGTGCTTCGCGGCTCTGGAATCGAAATCCAACCATCTTCAGTTTTCAGCTTTAGTTCATATTTCATGACCAACTGACCCTACTTCTCAATATCTTCCATCAGGATAACAGAACCATTCAGACTTTGAAATGCTGCAAATTTCCAAATTTTCTTCTTTCCGAGTTTTAATCTGGGCTTAAATGATTTTTTGACAGGGTCTTTGTACAACAGTGCAATCGCCTTTCCCAATTCTTCGTATGCCTTACGATCTCCCTCGGGTACCAGACCCCGGGTATCGGGATTGAGGTTCAGAATCAAAGTACATCCATGACCCACACTTGTTAGATATTCTCTTAAAAGTCTGCTGACACTTTTCACCGAGTGCTCCGTGTCAGGTTGCCAGAACCAAAAGTGCTCACGAATAACAGTATCGCAGTTTGCGGGACACAAGAGCTGGCCATAGGGGCTTCCTTGCATTATTTTACCTGTAAGGGGATGGAAAATTAAAATAAAACCTCGTGAAATCAAGTTAGATTTAGTTTTTCATCATTTCATTCTTAAATTTGCAATTCTAACCAGAAAAGGCCAGGAAGCTGGAGTTTTTATATGGAAACGAACAGTTCGGTGACAAGATCTTTAACTCACCATCTGGTGTCTTCTCGGAACATTTTCCTTTGGGTACGGCATACCACTGCGGTAAAGGTGCGAACGCCTTTTCGTTACCAACCCAGTGTAATCCTTGATTACCAGCAAAAGTGGGACATTCGTCACAGATTGAGTTATTGGCCAACTCACGTATGATTGGTCCGATATCAGGACTCACGTTTGAGACGATACCAGCATCAAACCAAATGTAAAAAGGGTCTTTATATGGAGAGCTAGCATTAAATAATTCACGCATTTGTTCTTCTACAATCTTTTTATAGCACTCTTGTGTTGCGGGAACACCTGTGGTATAGTTATCCACTCCCATATACCAGTTGTTATGCACACTATAAAAGTATCCATATTCCAAACCATATTTTTTGCAGGACCCGATAAAGTCAGCCAGGACGTTTCCCTTTCCGTCTCTCCACTTTGTATATTTGACGGAGTACCTGTAGTCTGTAGCGGTGGGCCACATGAGAAACCCGCTGAAGTGGTCGATGGAAAAAAGGATGTATTTGGCACCAAAACTCTTAGCTGCCTCAAGCCATTGATCTGTTGAGAGCTCTTCTGGATTGAAAGTGTCTACGGGCACAACATGACCTGGCAAACAAAATATATGGTTTTGACGTCCTGTTAAACAGGGAGAGCTCCCTTTCAGCGCGTCTCTCTTCCACGCTTGTTACACGCTTTCGAACCAATTGCCTGCTACGTAGGCTAAGGAATCCTGATCCTCGACTCTATCAGACAGTGATCATCTCCTTAAAGCCATGTGCGCATTTCAATTGATAATTGCAAAACTGAGCAGAGAAACAGTGGGATATGAAAGCAACCAAAGGGGTTTCGAAACTAATCAGGTGACATATTTTGGTCCGGATGGAAAGGTGGATGACAAGATCGTCACACGAGCGGAAAATTAAATAAACACACCATTTGACATCGGACAAGAAATAAGTTTCTTTGCCGCCTACACTCGCTGTTATTTTCCAGGGTGAAGAGCAACGGAAAGAAATATTATCCATTTAACGTTTCGGTCGATTTTAAAATCTACTACACGAAATCATAGTGTACAAACAACAGCGTTTTGTTTGTTATACAATTGAAACTACGAATGAAAACAGTTAATTCTTTCCAACAATTTTTTGACAAATCCGTTTAATGAAGCCGCAGTAACTGGCCATGATACATAATCACGTCATTGCTCGAGGAGCAAATTTCTTACCTGGCTTCATATAGCGGTTAAACGTTTGCATGTTGAAATGAACAATCGCTCCCACTTCATAATCCAGCCATTTTGCTTGGGTTTTGGTCGGTTTTGGTACCGTAAAAGTATTCACACTTCTCATCCAGTGAACATATAGAATAATTCCTAAAACTAACAAGATGTGAAGATTTACCATCCTGTTAAAGGTATTGAGTGCCTGACAATGTAGGTTTGCTTCGTCGTTTTTCACGTTGAGGAGTGTCAAATAGAGATACCTGTTCACTGGCAGGTCGCATAGCACGCATGATGAACGTTTTTAAGGCTCTGGCCCCCCGGTTGTTCAAAGGTTGGATGACGCTATCCACTGAATAAATCCCTATCCAGGCCAGTGGATAACGTAGTGGGGTCCGTAGTGTGTTTTGCAATCAAACAAATCGAGCAAAGATGAAATGAAATAAAACAGTTTTCGAAATGATTCTGATTTTTAATCATCTCTTGGAAATTCTACCGTTACGTATCGTAATGATATATTTTTTTTAGATTTTCTTATCTATATAATATAATTCTTTAGAATGTGGCTTATGGAGAAAATTCTTAATTAACAGTTCGTATCTAAAAGCAAGATAAAAAAATTATGCACTAAAATGTAATTAGGCGGGGGTTGGAAGTTGGTCTTAGTCTTTCTAGACATGAAAATGTCACGAAAAATACATATCAGCATTGCTGTTAATTGGAAAAAAATTTTCGTTTATTTCACATTCCAGGAAGATAGAATCTTTTTGTTGTATCATTCATCTTTTCAATTGCTGACGGTTTCATTCTTTTGCGTTGAATTTGAATTGAGCTTTCCAAGTTTAAGTTCCAGTGTTTCTCGATTTTCCATCATCTATGAAGAAAACAAAAGGAAAAACTTGTGATTAGCGAGAGATATTTCTTGAGATTAATGAGACAAATGTTCAGTTTTATTACACAGTATCCGTCGGGAACAACTCATCTAAATCCTACCGTTTTAAGTTCCTCTTGAAGTTCACTGTTAACTTTAGAGAGCGCAGCATTTCTTTCTTTCAAATCATTTATTCTCGTATTTAATTTATCCTCCTTGGTCAGTGGTCTACAAAGAAGAGAAAAAGAGAGTCAATGCTAACAGTGGCATTATATGTTCACTTGGTAACTAATGCTTCACGCGAAAAAGGAAATCTGCCAAAAACTGCTACGTATCATTCCTTTTTTTGATTTAATAGGCCACCGTAAACTGGCTCTAAAAGAGCGTCATGCAATCTCCTTCGCGGGAAATGGACGAGTGCGTGACCACATTTCATGCCATACTAACGAGCTGATGTGATCAAATTACCAGTGCCATTTCTGACAAAGCTTTACCTTACTACAACTTTTGGCGGTTCCGTGTTAAGTTTTCTTTCTTTTTCGCCATCCTTGTCTATTCGCCTTCCTTGTTTCAGTGTTGGAGGACTTGGAGGTTTCTGTGGGTGGTAAATAAAGATAAGAAAAAAAAAAAAAACAGAACAGTTATTAGTGAATTAGAATGGAAGTGAACGAATGAAGTGAAAAGTGGGGCTACAAATTTTCAGGTGGATGCGCAGTCTGAGACTCCCGGACTTGTTATTAGAAAAATGCCTTCTCATGCCAACTGAGATCTTACCTAAGTTCAGGTCACTTTATTGTAAAAGCTAGCGCTAAGAAGTCACGACGTTTCGACCTCTCTGAGGTCATTTTCAAGTGAGTAAGTTTTCCAAATCAGCATAAATATGTTGAAGCAAGTTGAAGACGATAAAATGTGGCGAACGCTAAAATATGTGAAAAAATGTAAACAATATACAATGGAAGAGAATAAAAGAATAACGGAATAAAAGAATAAAATAATCGTAGCACGAATTGTTCTAAACATATAGTTTGGCGCGAATTGAATCGCACTGTTTGTTAAGCGTTGGTTTCAGTTCTTTGATAAAAAAAACATTTCAAAAACAAGACAGTCAAATTTGTTCTGACACTTCCTTAAGATTCGAAAACTCTTTTTGATGTCTTCTGGCTCCATGTCGTGCTGCTCTCTGAGGTGGTGTCTGATTGCCGATCCTTTGTGTTCTTCAATTCGTTGGTGCAAGTGTCGGAAGGTGTTGAACATTGAGTAACGGGCAAAATTGGCAAAGAAAAAACCCGCTGCAAAAAGGCAAAGCTGAAGAAACTGCTGAAAAGCACAACAGCAAATCGACAGGCAGCTTAAGTAATACCCTTATCGCTGAATTGAGTTCCCTCGGGTAGGTTTATTATTTCATACAATTCGAAGCAGTTGCCTATGTTTTGCATCAAGGCCGGTACTTGCTTATTGAAACGAAAGTTCATTTTTAACCTTATGTACAGCAAATGTAGATTTGATAGCGTCTTCTTTGTTCGTAATTTGGATGCCAGCATGGAGAGGAGTGCCAGTACTGTTTTTTTTTTTTCTGACAAAATGGTGCTTTTATAGTAGTGGGCTTGCGCTGCCTGTGAATATACGTCATCAAATAGCTGCTCCCGCAGTCCCCGAAGTCGCCATGTTAATTAAACCAACACATTCAAATATACATTCTTCTTGTTAACGTTCAAAAGTGGCCGGGTATTCTACATTTGCTCCAAACTCTGTGTGCCAACTGACAGCCTGACATAGCCCCTTTTAAATTAAGCAGAAAATTCAGAAGTTTCTTTCCGATAAGCAAACAATAATTAAACCGAACAATAAAGGCTTGGTGCTTCAAGTTTTTACCAAGAAGATCGAGAAATATCGAATGAAACAAAGGAAACGTGGACGATGCTTAAAAATTTTAAATGTATAACGAGAAACAAATAATATTTGGGATCCATGAGAATAAATTAATCTGAGTCACATGAAATAAGCTCACTGTCGTGNNNTCTTTTATCAGCCATTCGGGTATGTGAATCCTCAGACACTTTTGATTCAACCAATCTGCGAATGGTTGACTGCACAAGGTCGTCAGAATAGCGCAGTCGGGAGAAGATCTCTTTAAGGCGTTCACATTCCTCATGAAAAAACTTCCACGTAGACGAGAGTTGAAACGCACGGTTTATTTTATATTTTTATTCCTTTATTCTTTTTTTTCTCTTCCAGTGTATATTGTTTACACTTTTTCACATATTTTAGCGTTCATCACATTTTATCGTCTTCAACTTGTTTCAACATAATGATTTATGCTGATTTGGAAAACTTACTCACTTGAAAATGACCTCTGAGAGGTCGAAACGTCGTGACATCTTAGCGCTAGCTTTTATTTCAAAGTCGATTTCTAAGAAACTACTTATTAACACTTTATTGTAATATAGGTATATTATATGACACGTACCAACTTCGGAACCGGTCGTGGTAAGGCCTCCTGGGTGTGAGGAGGTCTGCTCACTGCTGCCGTGACTCCTGAAGAACAGAAGAACTAAAAGTCAGCAAGGACGTACAAGTGTTCTTCATAAAACTAATTAACAAAATACACATCGCAAAACATTTTGAGCCGAAGGTTCTTCATGCCTCACCTTCATTGGTAGTCTTCTGGGCAGGCGTTGAACCAGACCAACCTACCTCCTGATACAAGAAAAGTAAACAAAACGAACGATTACATTTCTCTTTCAACATTTAGAGACCATTTTCGGCCTGGCGTTTTAAAATTTATTAGATAAGGAGACGTCACATTCAGTTGCCGCTTTCCACTGTCCGGCACCCTACCTTTTCACAGCTGCTCTTCAGCAACAGAGGTGATAATGACGATACACAAAGCAAAGCCCACCCAAAAGTACGTGTATACGAGTCGGCCTTTGACACATACGAACGACGAAACAGAGATAAACGAATATCTTAAAACCCTTACATGCGAGTGGTCCAGTGAAAACGATCTCCGATGAATCCCGGGACGAACAGATGAACCATGCGTGCCTTCACCTTCCTGTGCTTCAACAAAACTTTCAAATCTGCTGAAGTCTGCAAAATCTTCCTGTTTTTCTACATTGTCCTTTTCGTCTACAACTTTCTCTTGTTCGGTACCATTCTCTTTTCTGTGTCTGGGTGTGTTGGGTTCGCTCCTTACTGGCGCTGCACTGTCGCCCGTCTAAAATACAGAACTATAGTTGAAACCTGTCTAGGAATAATTAAACTAAAAAAAATTGCACGCGTCTGATTGGCTGAAAACGAGTGTATTTTCCATGTAACATGAGTGCAAAGTTGTAACACGAGTGCAAATTATAAATGGCGCGCGCGCACTGTCAAAATTTCGTCTTTCTCGACTTTCTGTGATGCTTTTCTCGTGAAAATTATTCTCAAGAAAAAAACACGATTTCTCATACAATTTGGTGAAGTGAGCACATCGAAATTATTCAAAGACTACACATTGCACTCGCCCTACCGGCTCGTGCAATTTTGCTGCCTTTGAAAACTTTACTCGTGCCTGTTAACACCAACTTGCACTCGAAATCATGTCGATGCCTATAGTAATTTATTGACCAAGCTTGCTGTAATTTTGCCAGTTTTATCAAACACCGCATTCACGCACCTGACTAGAAAAACTTGACGACGTTGATGGTGGTGTCCCTGTAAAATAAACAAAATAAACAAAAGTGATCTTATAACTCGAGAAATGCTGATTACCAGGAGATGTCCAAATATGCAGATTAAAGAAAGAACATTCCGTAAGTCTGGTCGCTGTAAATAGGAAAGACGATAGCACTAAAGCTTGTAGACAGGGGGCCTTTCAATTAAAACAATATCAAACGTTATTTTTGAGCAACATAAGATAGATAAATGCATAATAATGTATAAGCGAATTAATGGGCGTTTGCCGAATTATCTAAATGAGCACTTAATT